CCTCTTCTACCTCATCTTTTTGACTGGCTCCAGCTAGAGAAATTTCTCTTTGCAAGGTGGTTAGATTAAAGATATTTTAATAAAAATCTAAATGGGCTTTTAGAGGATTCCTGACAATTTGATTCCAAAGACAGGGAGAATAAATGGGTAAAAAAAAAGGAAAAGTGATAAATTTAATTCAATTAAGAATTTCTTTTTTGTCAAAGACATTATTAAGAATGTAAAAAGGCAAACCAAAGAGTGGAAAAAATACTTGTAGCACATATAATCAACCAAAGTCTTGTTTCCACATTATAAAATTGATTAATACAAATCAATAAAAAAGACAACCCAATTTAAAAATGCAGAAACACCTGAACAATGAGTAATGCTCATATGAAAAGATGCTATTCTTTATTAATAATCAGGGAAATGCAAAATAGTGCCACAATAAGCTGGCATCTATTGGATTGGCAAAAATTAAAATGTTAGACAATTCAAGTGTTGGTTAGGATTTGGAACAACAGGCACTTTTATATGTTATTGTTGATCATATAAGTTGGTACAACCATTTTGAAAAATTCTGGCATGGTCTTGTAAAGCTGCAGATAAACATGCTTGATGAACCCGGAATTCTATACTAAGGTAAAGACTCTATAGAAATTTGTATTTATGTGCTTCAGGATGCGTGCACACACACACACACACACACACATTCACAACAGCACTGTTTATAATTAGCCCAAAGCTGGAAAAGCCTGTATGTCCACCAATAGTAGAATAGATAAATTATGGTATATCCATGCAATATCATAACCTACAACACTGACAATGAATAAATTACAGGCATATTCACGTGGATGAATCTTAAAGGTATAACTTTGATTTAAAAGATTCAAGATGTGAAAAAAACTTACTCTATGATTCCATTTACATAGAATTAAAAACAGGCATAAGCTATTATTTAAGAGTAACTAGGCAATAAAACTGTAAGGAAAAGTTAGGAAGTGAATATGTTAATAATCGTGATAGTGGTTTTCTCTAGGTACCTGAGGGTTATAAAGGAAGGGGTGCTTTGGGGCCTTTTGGGGTGTTGGTAATGTTTGACCCAGCAGGGGTTACATCAGTGTTTGGGTTATAGTCTTTAAGTAGTACACTTCTGTTTAATGAACTTTTCTGTGTGCTTGTGATTATTTTCCATGATAAAAAATAATTCTAATCTTCTCTTTTTTCCCCATATTTCCTGACTCTTCCTCTATATCTACAGTGCCTCACAGAGAAACAGTTACAGCAAGACTATAAAGAGAGCAAATATTCAGTCTTTAATAATAAAAACACTTACAAAGTAGGTTCTCGAAAATTAGAAAAAGCTTTGCAGAGAAGGAAACACAGCATTTGAACATATTTCCCTCCCAACCCTGGCCAGATTAGCTAAAAGAAACCCCTGAACTGGGAAGAGTATATGGAGTACAACACTGAAGAAGATTAGGGGGCCAGGAAGGGAAGGATGAGGTTTAACGGGAATGGTGGGAAAAGACAGCATCAGAGTGGGCTGAGCACCATTTCACTGGACAGGGCAGGAGGCCAGGGCTAGGAGCCAGGAAAGCTGTTATCACAGCAGCCTGCAGGGGCTTCCTGCTGCCTACATTTGCATCATCCAAAAAAGGACACCAGCGTCCCCTGAACTGCGCAGTGGAGAGCCTAGGACACTTCTGTCAAAGATGGAGAGTGAAATCTTGGACCACCTGGTACCATACTGTCTCTTTCACCATTCCTCGAATCCCTTCTACTCCTAGAGATCTTAGTCTGTAGGGCCCAACAGTCTATATTTAATAAGCACTTCAGCTAATTCTCATGCAAGTGGCCTGTGACACTGGAGTACCACTGCTCAGAGAAACCCCCTGATAAGAATCACAGTGGCACTGGTTAAAAATCAAAACTTCTGGGCCCCATACCAGACATGTATAATCAGAATCTTTAGGGGAGAGGCCTGAAAATTTGTTTTTTTAATGAGAGCCCCAGGTGATTCAAAAGTAACTCTGGGAAACTGCTCTAGAGATTTCCACTTTTTCTTTCACTTTTCTGCAATGTACTTAAAAACAATATATATATTTATAATAAAATATTTGCATTTTGATAAAAATAGGTACCTGTGGAAAAGAACATACTACAAATTGTAAAATATTTTTTCTGCAGCCCAGACTTCTCAGTGCTGCAGACCTGTAGATCTGTTTACGTGACATCTCTCCTTGAAGTCACAAAAATATCTGAGACTCAACGTGTTCAAATTGAAATCACCTTCCCCCAGACCTGACTCTCTTTCAGTGTTCCTCATACCTCAGTGAGCATTGCTATCCACTCACTGGGCATGCCAGAAATTGTGTCTTTCTGACTCCTTCCTCTCCCTTCAATCCCCATTCATTCCACTCCACAGTACCTAACTCCATTCCCGAGACCTCCCATTTTACTTCCTAAAGTGTTCGTTTACCCGACTTGTCTCCATCTCCTTGTTCTCATCCCAATCCATCTGAACTACTATCAACACTAACCACGAGCCATAAATCCTAATTGGTCCAAGGCTGGCCCTGTTCATGTTCCCACACTGTAGCTGGAATGATCTTTTCAAAACAGATATGATCAGGTCAAATCCCTTCCCCACTTTGCTCCCAAGAAAAACGTGAAGGTTCTCAGTATGGCCAGCTAAGCCTGCTTAGTCTGGTCTTCTGGCTTCATACTGCAGCACTCTCCCCCTGCAAACTATGCTCTAGCCACAATGGCCTCCTTTTAGTCCCTCAGGCCTGCACTGTTCCCTCTTGACAAAAGGCCTTTATACATGATGTTCCGTCTGTTTTCTTTTCTTCTTTTTTCCTCACCCTTCAGATCTATTCTAGTGCAATTTCCTCAAGGATGCCTTACCTAACTTCTCTGACCAGATCAGTGAATGTCCCTAATATAAGCTCTCATAGCACCAATCTCTTGCAACTTTCATTTATTTCTCTAAATAAATGTGGCTTATTATGTGTTGAATTAGACCTTTTAGAATTCCTTTGCCTAGAACAATGTTTCCTTGCTCTTCTCTGTTCTTTTGATTTTACTTCCTTAGAATCTATCCCAGAACAATTTTAGGATTAGTAGGGGATAACTCTTTAATATTTGGATTCAGCTAAAGCACCACCTTCATTGGCTTTCCCATCCCCTCTGGCTGCTGTTGCCTTATCATTTTTCAATCTTTTGAACATTTGCCTCTACAACAACACTTATTTACACAGGGTCTTGTTCTCAGTAAGTATCTGGAATGACCCTTGTAGCCTGTAGTCCAGTTACATAGTATACATGCTGATTTCTCTGCTTGTAATAATGTCTCCTCTCACTATGCCTGACAAGCTCTTATCACGTGATATATACAAGGCAGTGGTATAGTATTACCTTTAACAGTATATGTGTAATTTTTCTACTTTTCAGTTTCTTCATTTGAAAACTGATACTTACCTTAAAAAGCTCTTGGAAGGATTAAAAGAGTTCATTAATGATTCAATACTTCTCTCTCTTCCCTTGCCAGGCCAAATCTCTTCTCTTTAAGATCAATTACCTAGGGAATTTTGTCTCAGATTAGAGTTTTGGAATCTCTTGCACCCGGCTAGCTCTTTTCTGTTTCTCACCACCTGTTTTTGTCTCCTTTACAGTAGATCTTGACAGCGCAAATAAAACTAAAGAACAAATTATCAGCAAGTAGAAAATATTTCATCCTTGTTCTTACAAGAAAATGTATTTGTATAACTGCACAGGCTTTTTAAAAAACAAAACAAACAAAAAACTTTGAAATAGCAAAGAATGAAAAATAAAAATGGTTAAATTTCCATACCAAAATAGGCGAAATATTTTTCATTTTCTCTTAGATTTGTAAAGTGTCTGACCCAGAGTACACAGGAAGAAACTGGTTCCCTTCCCTTCTTCAAGTTTACAAAGCTGTAAATAAAGATTTTAGCAGTTAAGACACATAACTCCCGTGAATTATCTGACAGCTTTCCGTATAATAAATTCTTACCAACGAGATACTATGCTCACTTTCTTATTTTACCTGTTGTCAAAGTTTAAGTGTAGCATATGAAAATGATTATTCTCTAAAGATGATGGAAGCACTTTATTTTAAAATGTGTACATAACTGAATAAAATAGAAAAATCCTAAGAAAAATGTTTGCACTCAGGTAAAACATGACAAAGCTTTTGCTGAAGTTTCTCTACCTACCTCCTTGTTACCTTGTGTGGCTCAAGTACCATTTATTATTTAGACTTGTCACTCCCAGTTGATCGGGGAAAATTTAACGCTCTTTAGCCAATGTTTCAAATCTGGATGGTTTATTTGTGGGCCCACTACTGGCACTTGTGAAAGGAATGTTCTTGAGGTTAGAGTTTTAACATAGAAAAATAATGTTATGTTGTTATCCAGAGGTTTGAAATCAACACCACTGGGCATTTGAAGCTTATCACACATTGGTGAGGTAAGCATGCAGTCATCAAACGACCCTTTTTGACGTTTAAGAGTCACAAAAGCCTCAAACCCTCCTGGAATCTAGGCTGAATTTCTCCACTGGCTTGTCTGGGAACCAGGCTCTTCTGAGCTGTGTAGTATTAACTCGCTCTGCTGCCGGCTAGATTACAGCTAATCCAGCACTTTTCAAGGCGGACTCCTTTTTAGGACCCAACTCCACCCTTCTCTCGCGGCGGTCTAGGACCATCAGGACCAATTTCGGGTTTTCCTTTCGCCAGTGAGCCTTGGCAGAACAGGCTTTAAAAGAAGGGAAGAAGGCAGAGGAAGAGTTAAGAAGTAACTGTATCTTAAGAGTCATAGTAAAGGGCAGTCCACCTTTGAGACGCGACGTCCAGCACCTTATTTGGCTGCAGAAGCCGCACGGTCGGGCGCCCTGGGGCCAAAAGCCAGCCTCGCCCCTCCACTGCCCGCCCACGGGTCACGGTCACGTGACGGGGAGCGGCGCGCGCTGGCTGCGGCGCCGATTGGCCGGCGGCGGGAGCGCGGGGTTTGATGGGAAGGAGTTGGCCGGGCCCATCGCTCTGTCAGTGGCGGCTGCTGCCTGGACCGGAGGTGGTCTGCGCGGTGGCGGCCGAAGCTGGCAGCGGTGGACGCCAGCGCCGGGCTTTGCCCGCTTCTTGAAGGTAGACGGCTGAAAACGAGGGCCGTTAGGAGAGTTCGGCAGAGGGGTTGGCGCGCCGAGCTTTTGCCTGGGAAATATGCTTTCCTCTCTCAGGCGCCTCCGCCCCATACCGAGTGGCCTACGAGCTTAGGCGGGCGGCGGCGGCGGCGGCGGCTAGTCCAACTCCTGCCTGGCTGCGCACTGACCCAGTCTCGCCGCCTGGTTTTCTTGGTTTCTCAGCTCAGTGGAAGGGGTGGCTCTGGAATGCTGGAGACTCCTTTCTGTCCCCAAGGGGAGCTGGCGCCCCAGCCTTTTCTCGGAGATTCAGGGCGGGGGGTGATTGGGTTGAGCTGAGTATCGGGTCTTTGGCCCACCTCCGTGTTCGAGCGATGGCTCAGAAGGTCCTACGCTAAGCCTTCGCGTTGAGTGTATTTTACTACCCACGGCGTCTTTTTCTGAGTTGTGCGGAGGTTCCAGGAGTTGGAAAGATTGGAAGTGACTGAAAACTGTCAGTGTCATGCTGCTCGGCCCAGGCCTGTGGGCGTGGATTGCGTGTCACTCAGAGAGGCCTCTCCACGACCGTTGTCCTTATTTGAGCGACAGTAGGCGCTGTAGGGGGCAAAGGGAAGGGCGAGGTTGCGTGGGTGTCATAGGCATAGTAGAAGAAGAGCAAACCTACACTACATCCGTAGTTTTAATTCTTGAATGCTGTGTGTGGAGATTGAGAGATTTGGGATTGGTGAACTCAGTTTTGTTCATGGTGTCCTTAATGTACTAAGTAAAATCTGTGACTCACTGAATTTTCCATGTTCCGCTTTTCCCAGTAGGCTTCTGGTTTGTGGTGCCTAGTGTCGACTGTTTTCTCCTTTCTCTTTGGCCTGGGTGTCACCACTGACAAAATTGTCACCAGACAAAATTCAACAGCGGTTTGTGTGGATGTGAGTAAGCTTGGTTTCAGGCATATGTTCAAACTGTCAGGGAATATTAGTATCTTGTCCTCAGCAGCCCCTGTAGTTTAATTTTAGGAGGACCAAGTTGATTTTGAACACATTTTTTTTTAAATGGGTGAGGCATTTAAAATTAGAATTTCGAGTTTCTCTGTCATATATTGGAATCAGCCCAATGCTGTTAATAAACTTAGTGTTTATATATTATTAGCTTGAAAGAATATAAGAAAAGAAATTGTATGGCTTATAACAGGTATGATTTATTGTAGAAATCTTTCTAATCAAATAGTCATTTTTTGGTAGTATTCAGTTCAGAATGAACTGATTTACCATGAAGACCAGAACTCAGTCATTGTATAAGTGCTTTTGGAGGTATACTTGTTTTCAGTAATTTTATTTTTGAGCAATAAATGTGTTGGTTTGGGATATTTCAGAGTTATCTTTTCAGTTAGGACATTTGAAAATTTGAGTTCTAGAAGGAACACCTTTAATCTCAACTTGAATAATAGAATGTGTTATAGAGGTACTGTGCATGGTGACTGAATAGTTCCTACTTAAGTCTGCAACTTGATAAACATAAAACTAAACTTGTTGTTAAAGACCTACAGGATTATTTTAATGGAAGAGTCTTCAGAGTATTTTGCTGGAGAAAATGAGAGCAATACAATTTCAGTTAAAATACAAGCTAATTTTACTTTCAATTTTAAAATTACGAAACAGAAGTTAGAAAGAAATGTGTTCCATATGAGAAGTTTGCTCATGTGTTTTCCAGTGATAGTAGTAATAGGTACAATTCATTATGCATGTATCATTTGTTGGACACTGTGTCAATAGATGTAATTTCATTTAATTCATACAATTCTGTGAAGTGTAGATGTTTTCACTACTTTATAAATGCTGAAACTGAGGCTTAGAGAGTTTAGTTTACCCCATGTAGCTTGGTTTAATCACATAGCTAGTATGTGGTTGAGTCATATTTTGAATCCAGACCTTTTTTATTCCATTATTTCAGTATCTCTTGAAGTAAGCTAAAAATTTAAGAAGAACACATCCTGAGACTTTAAATTCTGACACCTATACCTAAGTATGAATACCAGTTAGTAGAAAACATTAAAATAATGTGACAAGCTTTATTATTTGTTGAAAAACATATTAGATGCACCCAGTTCTTAAGGTCATGTCAGGTCCCATTTTGATATCAGAGTGGAGAGACTCTTTGTATATGTTCATGGAACAGTTCTTGGAGCAGGCCACTTGAGATTGAACCATCTGTCCACTCAAGGGCAAGCAAATTGATTTATGCTTCAGAAAGAAAGGCTAGTTATTTTATTCCTGTGTATTTTCTATGTGTTGAAAGGAAGCAGAGATGGGCTAGAAAATGGTAACAACCACAGTAGTAAAAACAGTTTATATTGAGAAATTAGCATGTGTCAGGCACTGTTGTAAATACTTTAGAATGCATTATGTCATTTAAGTTTTTCAACATTTAAGAGGATTCTTAACTATCACTCTTTTGCAGATGAAGATAATGAGTAACTGAGAGGTGAAGTAACTTACTTGCCCAAGGTTTCATAGTAATGGGCTACAGGAATTGGAGTTAAGATGTTTGGGTGTCAAAGAGGGAAAAGGTGTTTGAATATAGAAGAGGTATGAAATAAAAGCTATAGAGAAATAGTTGATTTACTTAATTTTGTTATGCTTTTGTATCTGTTGATAAGTACTACCTTTACATGTGCACTTTGGTAAATCAAGCTTCTTTAACAAATAACGGTTAGAAAAATTGATGGAATAATGAGAATTGATTGGCTATTTGATTATTAACCTGAAAGGATGAATATGGCATTTAATGACTATTATCATAATGTTGTTTTAGAGAACAAATTTAGAAGCACAATCCTCTGCTTCAGGGATCTTAAAGAGTAAAATATGGTTTGTTTCATTAACACCAAAACAATTCTCCAAGCAAATAATTGATGTCAAAGTTGGTGTTAATTGCAATATTATGCATACATTTCATATTGCACTTATTTTAAAAGTGGCTTGTAGTAAACAAGTAAAGGCAGTGGTAACAGACTTCTAGTACCAGTTCTGCCCCTAGCTGGAGCTACATGGTTTTGGCACATCATTTTGCTGCTTTTCCATGCAGATTTAAGGATTCAGATTTAATCAAACGAAGGCATTGGGCTGCATGATACACTGTGCTGACCCTGTCTCTTGTGTTTGTAACTCACTTTCCACTTTAGTAGCTCTGTTTTCCAGCTATTTTATAATGCCCAAAGTGCTTTCATATATTTTATATATAAATATTCCAATCTAGTCTATAGAAATAGGTTTTATTTCTGATTTTGAGCTTTTTTTTTTGCCTCTTTAAATCGAGCCATAGTTGATTTACAGTATGTAAGTTTCAGGTATACAGTCTAGTGATTCACAATTTTTAAAGATTATACTCCATTGATAGTTATAAAATATTGGCTATATTCCCTGTGCTATTTGATATATCCTTGTAACTTATTTGTTTTATACATTGTAGTTTGTACATCTTAATCCCCTACTCCTAACTTGTTGCTTTTTCAGAAAGTCAAAACTTAAATACTATGTCTGTCTCTACTACTTAACATGTTTGGGAACTTAGCAAATATCTTCACTTCCATAGCCTCAGTCTCCTCATTTGTAAAATGGAGTGATAGTAGTATCTAAATGATAAAATTCATGTAAAGCATTTGTTTTAGGGCCTGCTAGAAGATTAAGTGCTTACGAAGTATTTAAATGATATTATCATTGTCATTGCTTTCAAATATTAAAAATTCTAATTTGTAATGACTACAGATTTATCTTGAAGGCATATTACTGTTTGAAACAAAAATGTGTAGGTCAGTTGTGTACAGAAACACTGTGCTAGACACCATATGTACATGGGATACATTGAAAATTCAGAAATTAAATGGTTCATCTGAATCTCCCCTCCCCAGTCACCTTTCTTGGTGATTTTTAACATCTTAAGGTTTCAAAATCTATTTAATGTCTTGACTCAGCGATTTATACTTTTATTCATTAAAGTTCTTGGATTTCCTATAACCACATTTTAGACATTTGAATACTTAGTTACTATTGAAGGATTAATAATACTTAGATTGCAACTTAAATGTACCTGATAACGTTTATATTTATAAACTTCAAACATTTCAGGACAGATAATAGGTATTTCTGTTCCTAAAAACCACTTTGTAAATATTTCACAATTAAGCTTTTCGTTAGTTCTCTAACCGAGAAAGCCCAAGATAGGCAGGCCTTATGTTAATTCCAACCTTTAAATAGTGTTGCAGAGTACTTACTTGGTACTGGCATTATTTTGTCATTACATTTATGGGCTTAAAAGATGTAAGAATTATGGCCTAACTTTTTTGGGGTGGAAACGAAGCAGTTTTATACACTGGTAGTATATAACTGTAACCTGGTAAAAATACGTAAGTTTGAAAATATACTTCCACTATTTCAGTTAAAAAAATAAAATATAATTATTGACTGGTGAATTGACTTAGGATATAATATTGCTCATACACTTTTATATGTACTGTAAGATTTAATACATTTGAGAGCCATAGAAAAACAGCTAAAGAAGGGGATATGATATATAGCTAGCTGACATGATAGTCAACTAACTTGAGGGACTTAGATACAGTTTCAGGGAGAAATGTTTATTTGGGTGTTGAAAGGTAGTGAACAGAACAGAAGTCTGAAAATAAGAGTGGCTTTGGATAATGTTTCTTCTGAGCTATTGTACAAATCACTAACCCTCTTCCAACTTAATTTTCTTATCTGTAAAATGGTAGTAATGACGGCTATCCTGTGAAAAGTGGTAGTATTATTAACTTTAATTTATAGAAAAGATAATTATGGCTCAGAAACATTAAATGATACGCTTACTGTCCCAGGTAGTCTTATTACCCTTGTTTTCTTACTCAAAATCCAGTTCACTTTTTTATTATCATTTGTAAGATGATGTTATTCTAAACATTTTAGAACACCCCTAATTTGAGATAACTCATTTAGTTTGGAGACAGCAGAATGATAGAAATGACTGTATTTAACAATGAAGAATGAAAGTAGTATAGTAGAACTTTTCTTACAAGAACAACATAGGGGACCTACTTTAGGGAAAAGAAAACTGCAAAGTGGTATGAATATACACTTTTAAAATGCCTTGCCACTTAAAAAAGCCTTTCCAGCTTTATTTTCACTTTTAAATATGTCCTGGCTTAGAAGAAGGATTTTTTTTAAAAGGTGGAATGTATCCTACAACTGTCTGAATTAAAATTCTATATAAATGGTGTCCAAAGAAATGAATATTTTATGGTATTTTTGGACAGTATTGCAGCATCTTAATTTTATAGTGGGTATGCTTTATGTTTAACTTAAATTTGAAAAATACTTGCTTTATTTCTAGCTGTGAATTCCTTTGGACAGTTGATGGTATTTATCGTTGTGCCCAGTTTCTACAAATAAAAAATGGGTGGATTATTTTCTCGATGGAGGGTAAGTTACTTTTCTTTACAGCCAGTTCATAGTCTAATATAAAAGTGTCACATAAAGCTATTTGTAAAGGTCTCCTTTGTGGTGTAGATTGGAGTAGCAGTTTGATATTATCCCTAACTCTGTTTAAGTTTTTTACTCCTCTTATGAATTAGTTTTTTATTTGGACTTTAATGGTTCTACTTACTATATAGTTGTCTGATGTCACTGTTTAACAGAATTACTTCACTTTGACTTATGAATTTTTATTTCTCTATGCATTTGTGTACAAGTGGTTATCTTGTTTTCTCTTCATACTGCCTAAATTTCAATCTTATTGAGAGATACTTGTAATTAAGTATTCCATACAATACTTACATTTTTATAGGCTATATCTTTTTGCTTAAAGTTTGTGACAGATATTTACTGAAGTCACACTAGATATGACTTTTAGGAATTAATAGGTTAAACGAAATTAAAAATACAGTTTGATTTTACTGGCTAAGTCTTTAGAGGAGATATCTCAAATTTAGAGCAGTAATATATAAAATATATTGATAAATTCTCTTTTCTAATATAAGAGGAGATAATGTAGTCTAGGACAAACTATGCTTATTTTTTTGACTCATTTTTACTGTAATAATAGATTCTAGCAATACTTGGTACACAATTTAGTTTTTGGATTATTGCTGGAACTGCTTTGTTTTGGACTGGTTTTATATTGACACTCGTCCCCTTACTTCCTTCTAAAACCTTATTACAATTCTGCTGGAGAATCAGATTTATCTATTCTTCGTCTTTCTTTTTAGGTTGAACCCTGTGAAATTGCCAGTCTTCAACAGTTTTGACTATGTAAACAGCAATCTCATATGGTTCAACCTAATAGTAACAATACCTGTGGGAGCTACAATGATTTAATAATCATTGCTCTCTTAGATTGTTGAGTATATATAATTGGTAATTATTTTTTTAAGCTTTGAGCCATTTTGGCTGGTTTTTATTCTAGGTGATATAAAAAATACCTTTGACAAACAAGCTCTGCTATAATGAAGTATTCTTTGATACCCTTTAAAAATCTGATCTTCAGAAAAGTACATTAGGAATTCAGAATGAAGGCAACCTATTGATTTTTGACCTCCAGAGTCCTAAGTGAACTTTTAGGAATAGTGAATCAGACCATCTTTAGTCTTGGATTTTTAAATATGTGAATTCTTTTGAATAATCATATCTGAGAAAATTTTTCTTGGAGAAAAAATTGTTTCTCTCAATAAAAGTATATTATGTTGGAGTTAAGGATGGTAAATATTGAGCTATCAGAGTTGAAGTACTTCTAGGACTAGAAATAAGTAAAGTAGGAACATCTTATTTCTTTAATCTCATGTAATTCTGTTTAAAATTATAATTTTAATTAAATCTAAATCTCATTTGTAGATAAACAGGAATACGTATTGCTTGACAACATTGAAAAACTTAATTTTGGGTTAAAATGTTCTTTTATGATTTTATAAGTCAGAGTGTTCCCAAATTTGCAATAGCAAGTGTTAATATTGTCTCTTATTTCTGTTTCTATAACAGACAAAACCTTCGACTGTAGAAGTTCTGGAAAATATAGATAAGGTATGTTCTTTGGCTCTAGGGTGTATTAACTGATTTTAGGTGTTATATAAATATTGTTTTAGTGTATATTATTTTGTAGACCAGATCTGTATGGGAATTTAGAGGTGATATAGAGTAAGTCTGAGAACTTTAATGTTATATGATTTCAAAAAAGATCCAAAGCCTGTCAGTGACTTAAGAACTCTGTGTCAAGAAATAGTTACTGTTAGAATGAAATTAGATCTACAGCATGGTATAAATCAATGTTACAGATAGGATAAGGTAGATTATAGAATAGTCTGCAACTATTTGTATCAGTTTGCAAATGTCACAGCTTTTTATAGTTTCTATCATTATACAAAATGTATACTTGGGAGAGGGTATAGCTCAGTGGTAGGTTGCATGCTTAGCATGCACAAGGTCCTGAGTTTGATTCCCAGTAACTCTGTTAAAAAAAATAGGCAAACAAACAAACAAACATCATTACCCCTCCAAAGAAAAGAAAGAAAAGAACTAAACCTGATTTAACAGTGAGACCCTCTTCCTATTTAATGTCAAAAATAAAAAAAAATGATATGCTCATTGAGAGTGATGAATAGATTGAAAGAATCTAGTAGGGGGTCACTGTTTCAATTTTTATTAATTCCTTTTTTGATAGCCAGATATTTTTTAGGCCTTATACAGGGAGAACTATTACTTGTTTGAATTAACAAATACTATTTATTGATATCAATTTCATACCTCTGTTCTTTGCTAATTTGATAGCTTAAAAATATCTTAATTTTGCATTAAAATTTCATCAAATCATAAAAGACATTTTTCATATTTTTTAACTTCATTTTTAGTTTTCTTTTTCACATTATGTTCTGTTTTAAAATATTAAGGTATTATATTTGATTGATTTTTAAGAGTTCTTTCTCTGTAACCTATCGTGTTAAATTTTTTTTAACATTTTAATTTATTCATGAATTTGAGATTTAATAATATAGAATAACTTTCTCTTAACAGGAAATTCAAGCATTGGAAGAATTTAGGGAAAAAAATCAGAGATTACAGAAATTATGGGTCGGAAGATTAATTCTCTATTCTTCAATTCTCTATCTGTTCACATGTTTAATTGTATACTTATGGTATCTTCCTGATGAATTTACAGCAAGACTTGCCATGACACTCCCATTTTTTGCTTTCCCATTGATGTAAGTAAAATATTTTTTATTGACTTTTCCTTTGTCTGACCAGATAGTTTTAATATAGTCAGTTTCTTTTTTTATTATGAAATAGTAATATAAATTGAATAAACTTGCTTTCAGTTTGAAAACTATGTCTTTTAAAAAGTAGAATAATTGTTTTAAATCTTTATGTATAGTCCAGCAAACGTGAAGAATATGATGCAGTGACATTAGTAATAATGGCTCTATATGGTAATTTTTTGTGATTCTCTGATAGATGGTTGTGCTTAGTATTGGGCTTGGAATGGGCATTTCAAATTGTGGGTAGTGGCAAGTGAGGGAGGACTTGTAAAAGAACAACTGCCCCAATGATTCTGAATGTATTCCATTCATCCAGCCTCACTTCTCCTCTTTTTAGTAACTACTATAAAGCAATTCACCTTTATTATAGAAATATTTTATAGTATAGCACTTTACAGAAGGTCATGATTGAGAGTTTTGGGAGGCAGTTGAATAAAAAAATCTTCATTCAATCAACAAACATTTATAGGTACCAATTGTGTAGATGTTGGATTATAATGGTGTATGGTACACAAAAATACAAAACCTTTGACTATAGATCTTAGACTGTATACATTAAATTAGGTAATATGTATGATGAATATTATGGGGGAGAAATGCCAAATGCTCTGGGAGCATTTTGCAGGGTCCCTAACACAGTCTGGAGTGGAGGTGGGGTCAGGGAAGGGCCTTTGTATTCTTTACTATTGCTGCCACAGAATTAGTGACTTAAAGCAACACCCATTTATTATACCACAGTTGCATAGGTCAGAAGTCCAGGTGGTTTGACTGACTTCTCTGCTTAGGGTCTTGCAGGCTTAAATCAAAGTTATCAGCTGGCCTGGAGTCTCGGGGGGGAGTATGCTTCCAGGCTCAAACAGGGTGTTGGTTGATTTCTGCTGCACCTCTCTGAATTCCTGTTCTGCCTTTGGCTGGAAGAAACCTCTGCTTTTAAGGCCTCAACTGATAATCCAGGTTAATCTCCCTATCTTAAAATCAACTGAGTCATACTTTATTATATCTGCAGAGTCCCATCACAGCAGTACCTAGATTACTGTTTGATTGTATAAGTAGAGAGTGAAAATCTTGGAGAGAGAGAGGAGGATATCTTTAGAATTCTGCCTGTCAGAGCCTCCCTGAGGAAGTGGTGTTTGAGTTTGAGGCCTGAAGGATAAGTATTTGTAGCAAGGGTAGTGTGACAGGGTAGGTAGTGTTTTAGGCAGAAGGAACAGCATATTTGCAGGCCCTGAGGGAGTACAGAGCATGATGGGTTTAAAGAATTGAAAGTAGGCCTAAGACTGGATAATAGAGAAAAGTCTGGATAGTTAGAAGGACATTTCTTGTGGGCCTTATAGTCCATGATAAAGATTTTAGGTCTTAATCTAACAGTAGTGGGAAACCATTGAAGATTTTTAAAAAGGAGTATGACATTATCGTATTGTTATGTTGAAAAAACCACTGAGGCTATAGCATGGAGAATAAGTTAGAAGAGAGTAAGAATGAATCCAGAGCAGCAAGGCAGAAGGTTACTGTATTTGTCTAGGGGTGCTTTGCACTTGAGTGTTGGTAGCAGCGTTGAAGAGAAGCAGATGGGCTCTGTGAAGTGACTGGGTTGAAGAGATTTAGGAGGTAGAACTGAAGTAATACAGAGAGGCTCTTAATGATTGGTTGGATGTGGGGTGAGGGGAAGAATTTTAAATTTCAGGGTCAGGGGAGGGGAAGCAGTCTGAATCTCATTTTGGGTGAAATGGGAGGCTTGTAAAGGTTTTAGAAGACTGGCATGATGAAATCTAAATTAAGAAGATCATGTGTGCTGCCTTATGGAGATGGAGTAAGGAGGACAAGGGTAGAAACAGATCAGCTAGGAGGCTGTTATAGAAGTTGAACAGTGAAAATAGACTGGATTGCCCAGTGGCAGTGGAGATGAACAGATGATTTGGAAATATTTTGGAAGTAAAACTGAGACAACTTGATGGGAGGAAATGAAAGGTAAGAGAAAAGGAAGGGAGGAATCAGGGTGATACTTAAGTTTTTTTGGTTTGACTTTGGTAGGGTAGAATCTTTTTCTTTGGGACTTCTATAGTAAACATCTTTTGTTTAGTCTTTAATGCAGGGCATATTTTCAAATGGAAAATCCTGGAGCTGATAACAATTTTAACTTTGTATGTAGATAAAAGAGTCAAAAGTTGAGTGCATGCATATTACAAAATAATTGTCTCTGCCATTTAAACAATTTTCCTTCTCTTTTGAAGTCTTTTGGAATACTTTTTATCCCAGGTGTAATCATGGATTTCATAATGCTGAGCCCCTTTCCCTTGCTTCCCTTCTATTTTTTTTTTTTTAATGAAGAGAGAGAAGAAAAATTTAGAAAGGGAATAAGTATGAGGTTATTGAGTCTAGTTGATTTAAGTGTCTTTAAAAACTTAAAACAACTCAATTTGACATCCACTTCCATATAAAAATTGATTTTCTGATTATAGAAATATTGTATCTAGTTGCAAAAGAATGTTTGATAGGGACTCTATTACACTAATTCTAATTCCTGTCCACAAATTGTGATCAGCTATTTTGACTTTTTTTTGTAAATAAGTCATGTACTTGTTGTTTTTAAAAGTAGAAAAACTTCATTTCTTTAAAAATGTTTGTTATTTCTTCAGTTTGATTTTTTTCACTGTTTTAAGTATGAAGCTTTGTTATCCTTACTGTGTCCTTTTACCTGTTCTGCATCACCTACGTCTAGTATTTCTTGGCTTGTTAAACTTCAGAGCCATTTCTCACTTTGTCTCATTCACATCTGTGACCTGGTTCTCAACTGCTACAGTTTCTGTTTCAGTGAGCTCTTCACTTTGGGAAGCATAGACGAGTTACCCAACAAAGAATAGAATTGTACTTCTGATTGATGACAATCAAAAAAGCATGAAATAAAATACAACAACGTGAGAGTAGATGTTGTGGTAAATAGAAAGAAGGCTTACCACAGGACATTTTCTTTTATGTGTAATGTGAGCTGTTGCCCAAGCTTATCCCTGGACCTTTTTCTTTGAAAACCAAAGTTTTGAGGTCTGCACCAGGGTTTGCTTAAGAAAATGGAGGCAGAAGGAGCAATAAAATACATTGCTTTACTCATCACTGTCTACATTGATTATAAAGTTTAGAAATCTACCTGATAACTGCAAAAAGTGACTACTCTCTCTGCATTCCAAGTTTAGGAAATGCTTTTACTGGCAGAGAGGTCATGGATTCAGAACTGAGCATATATTGCCTAATCATGACTATTCCAAAATTATCTTTTATAGTAGAATATCAATACTCTATATAAGATAGATTTTAGATTTTATTATGTTGTCTTTTTAGGATGTAATATGGAGGAACTTGGTGAAATTCCAACCTATTTTTCTTTCTGTCAGATTCAATAACATTTCTCTGATCTTTTTAACCGTTACTGAAACAAATTATAGTGAACTGATTTCATAGGAATTACTAAGACTATGCTCCATAGTGAGGGAAGGTTTGGGTTACAGTTAAATTTTTTTATTTCTACATTATGCTGGCAGATATGCATTACCTTGGAAGTTAGTTGATTTTTTAAGAGTGAACAACCATAAACTGTCTCTACACTTAACTATCTCTACAAGCAATCTTACCAGCTTTTATTCCTGGATACCTTATTCTTAAAAATTATAACTTTGTAGAAATTCCATTCTCTATAATATTTCAGCTAGCCTAAATGTTGACCTTTGCAGAGGATTAAGCCATATTTTCTTTCCGTGTGTGTTGTGTGTGTGTGTGCGTTCGTGTGTTTCTTTTAAAATGAAATTATGGAGGTAAAATTCAAGCAAAGGAACCGAGGAAGGTAGTCTTGTCCCCTATTCCTTATGTTTTCTTATTTTTCTACTTAAATTGAAAGCCATTTGAGGATAGAACTTTGATCTTACACAATTTTTATGCCTCCTTCCCAGTTCTCCTCCTCCCAACCATTTTGTAAGAGATATTTCCTCAATCTAGCTAGACAACTAATAAAAGTAATTTGTAGCCTTTTGAGGAAAGTTAAACATTTGTTTCATGGTACTCTAATAATAATACAAAGTGTCTCTTATCAACTATAGTTGACTCTTACAGGAGAAGGTATCCAGACATCTCTTGATATTTACTCAAGAAGAATATTTACTCTTAGCTTTTATAGGTATGAAAATAATTTGCAAGCATCTCTTTTACAATATTGATATTCACTTGATATAATTTTATACTTAAAGAATTACGTACTATATATCATACAAACAAGTATTTTTGAATAAAATAAAATCTAACTTAAAAAAAAAAAGAATTACGTACTGAGACATGTAAGAGACAAATCCTATTCTTGGATAGGAAGACTCAGTATTGTAATGTGGTTGGTTTTCCCTAAATTAATCTAAAAGTTTGTGATCACAATACAGATACCAGCAGTGCTTTAAAAACCTTGATGCATTTGTTCCATAATTTTTAATGGAAAAATAAGCCCATAATAATAGTCTTGAAAATTCTTAAAAAGGAGCAGTATGAGAATCAGAGGTCTACCAGATACCAAATGCATTATAAAACTTCCTTAATTAAAGGTTTGGTACAGTGTCTAAATAGAGACACAGACCAAAGAAAGAGATGTGAGAATTCATAAATAAATCCCCATAGGATTTAAAAAATTATATATGGTTTTTATGTATGATAAAGATAGCATTTCAAATCATTGGGTTTGAAATGGTGTTAAGTCATACCTCTTCTTCCCCAACCCCCCAATAATAAGATAATTTTTAAAAGGCTTTATCCTTATGCCAAAATAAATCGTTGTTTGTCTGAATGTGAAAGTAATTCTCACTAAAGCCTTTGATGGTTAAATAAACTGACAAAATAGTCAACATAGTTATAAATATTGAGATCTGTACTTTTTCATTTTTAGCTTTCTATATTGTTAAATCTCATCTTAAAAACAT